TTGCCCAGAGAGGTGGTGGAGTCACCATCCCTGGAGGTGTTCAAAAAACCTGTAGATGTGGTACTTTGGGACATGGTTTAGAAGGCATGGTGGTGTTGGGTTGACGGTTGGACTGATGATCTTAGAGGTCCTTTCCAACCTTAAAGATTCCTAGTTTTACTTTCATGAAAAAATAATCCGGCCACCAAGCTAGGAAATATGAAATTAATTCTTACTCTAGCCTTAATTGGTTTAGTGGTGGACTTGGTAGTGTTAGGTTAATGGTTGGACTTGATGATCTTAAAGGTCTTTTCCAACCTAAATGATTCTGTGATTCTATGATTCTATGATGTGGGGGAGCAGAGGCTGGCTCTCCACACTGACTTGTCTGTAACAGACTGTTCAGTTACAAAGTTTGTTGGTGTCATTACGTAGGTCTGCTCACAAAGATGCCAAATGCTGCTTGGTGAAGGCGTAAGCAGGATCTGCACTGGTGAAACCTTCTTTTGTTCCCTTTTTGTCTGCAAAGAATGTGCTTGGGCACACCAACATGCTGTAGTGTCATGGCTGATTTTTTCTGGAAATTAAATGCGTTCACCCTTAAAAATAAAGATACAGGGGGAACAAAGTGTTGAATGTTTTTTTGAGAATAAGAATGAGATGGTTTTTAACCAGTCATGATTTTCGCAATTTGTCCACGCCCACCCTTTGTGCAGAAATGGTCTTAGGATTGGACAATTGTTTAATTATTTTCAGCTTTAAATCTCAGAGCCAAATATGAAGCATTAATCCTTCAAACATAAGCACATGAGGACAAGCAGATTCTTTCTAGCTGTTCTGTTTAATATGCAGAAAAAACAAAAAGATCTTTGAAAGTGAGAACAGAATACTGATGCTGAGTTTAATGACTTGAACAATTCATCTCACTGTCCCACTCCTGAGAAAGGCTTTCTGGGAAGTTGATGAAACCATACCACCACTATATATTTTACAGGAAAAAAAAGTTACTGCCAAATAGGTTGACAAATATTTTAAAAAAAGTGTGCTTATTCACTACTAAAATGTGGACTGCTTTTCCTAATGCTTGGTAAATCTTTCAAGTCTTTTTCTCTAATTCATCAGCCACAATAATTGCATTAAAATTAAGTAATTACTAAGAGAAACTGAAGTCTTTAGTCTTGATCAGGCAAATACATTTTTAAGTCGTCAACTAATTCCTTGAATATTGGGGGTTGCTTTGAGCTTTCTAGCTTACAAAAGTACTTGGGAGCCATTGAAAATGAGAGCTCATTATATCTGTGTAAAGACCCATAATGTGACTGAACTTCCTAACTAGTAGGTAAATATCCAATTGCATGCACATACAAAAGTGCACGTGTATCTTACATCATGTCTGCATTGTGTATTGCTCATGTTACATGCGTAAATATATAATACCAGTGACATGTGCTCTCTCTATATAGAAATATATATAAATTTTGTATGCAGCTTAGACAATTTGGAATAGAAGCACAGATGAAGAGAAATAAGAACAAAAATAAAAAGTGTCAGATGTTTTCAAGCAATTAAGCAGGTGGCAGGGTTGTGATTAAGGAGGAAATTAAGACAGTAACTTCTATGTAGGTATTTACAATATATTTATCTTGCATGTCAGTTGATCTGTTTATTATAATTTTGATTAAAATGTTTGTATCTGGCTGTATATTCTCATTCTGTCTTCGGTTGTTGCCATGTCTGGCACTTGTTTGGTGCTTTCTTGCGCACAGGACTGTTGAGTTCACCTGGACTCTGCAGAAGTCTGAGCGTCAGGGCTGGCAGCTCAGGCTGTCAACATTTTCATTAAAAGCCTGTAAGACCTCTACTGCACTGGGCTGTTAACCTTAACAGGTCTTAGAAATGCTGTAGCAAATGATTCACTTGCAAATATTACAAAACAGAAACATTTCTGGAAAAAATTATCAGCATTATTTTTGTAAGACAACCATCAGGAAATGCACTTAGGCAAAATACTTAATCTGGTTAAATTCATACTTCCTTAATGGATTTAAGGGAATTTCATCTGCAATAATTTGCCTTTCTCTGCTTTCTGTGGTTATGTGAAAGTTTGACTTCTGGAACACACATTCATTACCAATGGGACTACTGACGAACACAAATTACTCATTTGCATAATAATTCACAACACTACATATTTATGCTATGGGCCAGAGGTTCAGTTAGTGTAAACTGGTGTAACTCCAGTGGTGTCACATTTTATACTAGTTGAAAGCCTGTTTTTGACTGATAAAAGTTTGCCCTATTTGGAGCACCTGGTGTTGGGAGTAGGTTGTCATAATAAATTTGGTATTTCTTTTTGTTTGCTGGTGGCTACTAGGCAGATGTAAACATCTTGACTGGTGTAAAGTGAGTGTGTCATTAATTATCAGTGGGATACGTTAATTTTCAACACTCTAAAATTGTTTTAAATCATGTTCAGTGAAATGGAGGCTTTCTAAGAATATATGAGCTTTAAAATCAAGATACTACAGTGTATTTAACATAATCATATATTTTGTCTTGCATCCTGCAGGTGCAACTGTACCAGCCCACAGAGCAGTTCTGGTAGCTCGCTGTGAGGTAATGGCAGCTATGTTTAATGGTAATTATCTAGAAGCAAATAGTATTCTGGTTCCAGTGTATGGGGTTTCCAAAGACACTTTCCTCTCCTTTCTAGAGTATCTTTATACCGACTCCTGCTGCCCAGGTAAGAAAATTTAAAAACACACATATAACTGTCACTCATTTTTCCACAGTGGGGCATTGATAGAAAGCAATGTACAGCATTTATTTCATTGAAAAATGTCAATATTTTAATGAATTTATGTCTCAAGAAAGAGAACTTGTTCATATTGGACAATAACAAAATAAATCAATCTTATTCAAGTAAAATCAGCTGGAGGCAGAACTAATATCACTGTTCTGTGCTTGCATAGTAAGATTCAAAAACCTGTGAAATTTAATTTCTGGTCCAGTACAATATTTGGAAGTTTCTTTCTACATTAAAGTAATATGCTTTCTAATCTTAATTCTGGGTTTTATTTCAAAATCGTCACTTTGTTTAGCATATGTTTTGTTAAGTTTAATATAAACAAGGTTAAATTGCAAGAATAACTTATTTATACACATGGCTATCTTATTTGTATGTAAAACCAGAAAAAAAATGTGTCAACTGGAGTATTTGGCAAAAAAATGGAGCTAACATATTCTTCGTGTCTTCACCTTTGTCTTTTTTAGTGAGAAGAAAATCTATGTAATGAATATGAAATACGATTTAAATACAGATAATTTTCCTTTGATATAATGAATGAATGATAGTGTGATATGTATTTTTGCTTTTGTTTCCTTTTCAAATGAATCTACCTTATTCTTAGGTTTTCTGTATCTTTCTCTTTTCAGTCTGTCTAACATTTCCTTATTCATCAGTTTAAATATGCAACCACCATATCACAGTCTTTTAAAAATATGGTTGCTCCATTTCTCTTTGGCCTTTTCACTATATTTTCTCATATATTTATCATAGAGGTTCTTTTCTGAAAGAGAAGTTATAAAGCTAAATCCTCTTATTAATCATCACTTACTTTAAATAGCCCAGCAGCTCTTGGCTCAGCATCTTCAAGATACAGTATATTGACTACAGTTTATTACACTTGCCTTCTAAAAAGTACTAACTATTCTTTTCATGTTAATTACACAGTTTATCTGGAAAAAGAGTGATACAGAAAGCTTGTAACGATAATATTGAAAAATAAAAGGTGATCAACAGCGGTTTTATTTTGTGTTCATTGTTAGGTGTTTAAAAGCTGACTGTGAGAAGTGGCTTTGATCATCCTGTCAAAAACGTAAAACACCTGTAATTTCTGTTTTCTTGTTTTTCAGCCAGTATTCTCCAAGCTATGTCTCTCTTGATCTGTGCAGAGATGTACCAAGTAATGAGACTCCAGCATATTTGTGAGCTTTACATTATCACGCAGCTTCAGAGCATGCCTAGCAGGGAACTGGCATCCACAAGTCTCAGTATTGTTAGCTTACTCAAAAAAGCTAAGGTAAGTGTTGTATCTATTAAATAAGTATATATATGCTGACTGTGATTAGTGGGGGTTTTGTTTGTTTTTTAAAACATAATCGTTAAGATTTTTACGATCTTAATAATTCCCGTTCCCAAAACCAAACATTGACACACAGTCTAGTGATTCGGGATATCTGGTGGCACAAGGTTGGCTAAAATAAGGCGTTCTTCAGCCTGTTGTTGCAGAATGTGCAGTCATACCATAATCCGTGCCATTTCCTTCATTAAGGACACACTGCAGTAATTCAGCTTAATTGCAACTGCTGTCAGAAAAGATGTGTTTTAGGCAAGTGAAGCTGCACTACTTCCTGTTTTAGTCAGAAAGAAAATTGTACTGGTGGTAAGTGGCACCAGTGGCAAGTGGCAAAGGAAATCTAACCCAATACAACATTGAGTGAAATGCATAAAAAGCATGAAAAGGAAAGGTTAGAGGCTGAAAAAGAGAGAGAGAGACAGCAAAGACAGATTTGGAAAAGCAAAGCAGAAAATAAAACCTGCATGGTTTACGAGTCTCAGGCAGGATGTTGTCCTACATGAACAGGATTTTGTGGGGAAAGAGGAGACAACAAAACCAACATGCCACACTCCTCACCTTCCTTTTTCTGAAGCTCTTCTACTGTGCAGAAGAGAAAAATTTCCCAGATTGATGACTAAAGGAGCCCCAGGGGTTAGGTCACAACGCTGGGGGAGGGAGTTTTGTCATTCGTTCTTGGGTCTCCATCGGTTTACATATTTCCATCAATGACTTCTCTGTCATTATCTCCTACAGTCAAAACTTTATGTAGTGAACCACTACGTTGACGGTGGAAATCTGAAGTATTTTGGCACGTGAGGCATGGTTGTGTTTTAGATGCAATAGCATTAAGCGTTGTTTGTGTTTCTGCTCTTCTCACAGTTTCACAATTCTGATTGCCTTTCAACTTGGCTTCTTCATTTTATTGCCACTAACTACCTCATCTTCAGTCAAAAGCCTGAATTTCAAGAGCTTTCAGGTAATGATTCATCAATTACTTTTAAAACAAGAAATGTTTTCCAGTGCTGCTTAGATCAGAAGCGAGGCGCTGGACAATATTGCTTCTGCATGAGAAGATGATTAGGACTTCTTTAGGCTACACAGTCTAGTCCAGTGCAGAGTCTGTCTGAGCTGGATGGTTTGCCACCCCACTGTGGAACCAGGAAGTGACGCATGAAGAGCAGCGTGGCCAGCAGCCACGTCGCCTTGTCTTTTGGTTCCTGTGCTGATGGCCAGGTTCCCACCCGTAGCTGAATCAACTAGGGAAGTTTGGTCATCGCATGTCAACTCCTCCCACCTTATGTACACAATTTTGTTTAGTTTGTACATTTGAATCAAGGTAATGATTCACTCCTAATACCTTCTCTTTAAGGGTTGGGGTTTTCTTTGAAGAAAATAGGATTCTTAGAGCACTCTCCAGCAGAATTCATGAAATCAAAGAACTCATGTCCATTCAAGTAAATAAATGCAGGTTCTTCCAGGGAACTGATATTTATTTTCCCAGAGAGCGTATTTGTTTCTTGACATGTAACTCTAGAAAGTTTTGCTCATTGCCTATGGGATTTCTCATCAGTCTGGTGAAGGAGACCTTGACGGGTGCATCTCTTTGACCCGTGGTTCGTATTCAGACCGTTGGTATGGGGCCAGTGTATGCCAGAAGGGGATTTCCCTTATCAGTGAGCCGAAGCTCTGTTTGGTCCAAAATACATTAAAGGTCCTCGTTCCTCATTTGCACAGCTTGTACATGTGTGTGTGATGATGGGCGACTTCGTAATCATTGTGAGCAAAGAAAGGAGAGCTAGGTCCTCCCTGCTTTGTTGGAACATGGAATTTGTCTTCCAGCGGCCCATCTGCGCATCTTCTGACATGTCCGTTTTGTATAGCCTGATCTGGATTAAACATGAAAGACCAGGGCACCCGTGCTGGCGCATGTCACCCACCAGTGGGTTCAGTCCAAGGTGGACTTGCTTTGCTTCCCGTCCTGCT